ATTTACGGCAATGTTCTACGACTTTGCTAGACGGAAAGGTTCGCGTTTGTACGTAACTTACACGCGCTGCGACCCGCGAGTAGCGAACAATGAACCGGATTGTTCAAAAGGGTTGGGGATCAAAGACGATGTATGATGGAATATTCGAGACGGCGACGAACCACGATATACCGGTTGCAATTTAGTCCTTGACAGTCTCCGATAGTTTAATAGAATTGCCTTTGCGAAAGCTTTTCTTTAACACGGTTTATGAAATTTATTATATTATTGATTATATTATTGATTATATTATTGTATTATTATATTATTGAAATTTATTATAAATTATAATTATTATATATTAAATAATTATTATATTTTTATTAAATAATAATTATATTATAATTTATATTAGAAAATTCGACCAATTTTTTTTAGGCAAATAATTCGATACCAATAATTCGATACCAATTTGTTGTATTGATCTGATATGTTTTGCACTTTATTATTCGTTATATTATTTATACAAATAACAACGCCAGTTGAAGCTAAAGGATCTTAATTTACATTAACTTTTTAGTTAATGTAAATTAATCGCTATGTGTGAGAAAATGAGCACAAAAGGAAGTTTTAACATTATTCTACGCGATGTAGTACAAATCCCATAAGTATTTATTGTTCGACGCGAGTTACATTAATAATAAGAACGAAAAGAGAAGCAACGATCAATGTATTAATCCCATTATATATCCCATTTTACGTCATAGGGTGAATATTTCTTGACTTTTGCGCGCATGATCTACAATTATAGCGGTTGGAAAGTATTTATCTAAATATCAGACATTTACATTGCAATGAAATAAATACCAGCAATAAGAAATTTTATATGACATCGAAAAAGTATTAAAAGTATTAAAAAGTATTTAAATAAATGAAAATGTTTATTCATGAAACGAATCCTTTTCATCCAGTTTCATGAATAAATACGTTAGAACGATAAACAATTATTGAACTATTAAAATAGTTACGTAGGACACTTAAGAATGATGATAATACTGTGGAAATTTCTAATAAGCAATTTGAACGTTTTGTTCAATTATAATTGCGCAATTTTCTAGATTTTAGTTGAGTCGGTAGATTACTCCGACATGATAACTGCTGTTCTTATTGATCATTCTGTAAAATGCATTAGCTGGAATTGCGTCGAAATTTCGTGGCAGATGCCGGACGACAGCGGTCGAATATTCCGACATCTCAATGAGAACGATTTGGAGGAGAGACACGTACAACTCTCCATGTTTAACTATTTCCACCAATGGTATTCGAATAGTCGATCGATCGGCTGTTGCCACTCGGTCGTTCGATCGCCAGGCCAAAAATAAAACCCGTAACCCATCGTCAACCACTATTTAATCCGCCATCGCGCGTAGCCGGCGTTTTTCCGAATCGCAGATACCGCGATATCGTTAACCTACGCACACGTACTACTTGTGACTTTCGTGATTTACATCACGCGTCCCCATTCGATGTGGCATTCACTTGGCATTTACATAGATAAACGCCAAGCTGGTTTTTTTTTTAGCAAAGATTAATTGGATTAATTCTCCACAGATAGATCGATCGGTCAATTGTATTTCGTCAATGCGATTATGTAATCTTTTTTTCTAATTTTAGTTGACTAATTACATTGAAAAATTACACTGATGACAATTGTTGTCCTTCATTAATCGTATGGCCGATGTAGCTTTCTTCTTGACAATTCCTTCCTTAATGATACGGAGAATATATTTAACGAACGAGGAGATTTTATGATGAAGAACAGAATGCTATGTCGAGAAAGAAACGGGAAAATCTAATTATCCCAGTACATAAGTTGTTGAGTAATTAAATTGACATTGCTCGCAGCGATACCGCAAAAAGGTCTCGCTCTGTCTCTTTGCGAAAGGTCAGACGGCTTGTCGGAAACCCCATAGGAAAGAAATCCACGGAACGACGTGCATATCCATAATATTTATGCCAAATCCTACGCAGAGTGTTTTCATATACAATAGATGAAAAAACATCTGTGCGTCTAATCCTATTTGAAACAATTTTGCACGATAAAGAATACGCGGCAAAGTATAGGATTATGTTTGAAAGAAACATGATACACAAGAAAAAGCATGTATATTTTCTCAACCTAAGTCTAAGTATCTTCGAGTACAAATGATCAAAAGTATCCCAAATGTTTCAGGAATAATCCTTTTTTCATAAAAAAAATAAATGCATGGATTCATCCAAGTTTCTTCGTGAAGATCTTGCAAAGGGTGTTTTTCATCAACAGACACAAGTCTAGTTACATCATTTATCGTTTTTATTGTTTACCAACGGCAAAACAAGGATAAATAATAGGGTCCCATAAGAGACGATCACGATTGTTATATTTCGCATATATTATTTTCGTGTACGTGCACGTGCGTGCTCTTTGGAGCACAGTCTCCTGGGGCCACACGAGTAGGCAACATTACCAACGACCTTTCCTCTTTTCATATCCGCTTGTCTTCAACAACTCACCGCCTTTCTAATTGCGATGTGTGTTCTCTCCATCATCATGTCCTATCGTGTCGTCGTATCCTCCTTAGAAACGCGTGGGAGGGAAACGCGTCGAGGTAATACGCATCAAGTTTTTACCATTAAACGGCGCGAATGGCGAAATCGTGTCACGAACTTTGCCCTTTCGCAGCGGTTTCCATCAGCGGCTCGATATGGGAAAAACCTCACGCAGCATCCACTACCATGGGGCGACGACGACGACGCTATAATTTCCCGGCTTGCGCGTCCTGGAATAAGCGACACCCACCTGCGTGTTTATTTTACTTTTTAGAGCCAAAGAGAAATGCGCGCGCATACCGGAACGCACAAATAAACCGTGCACAAACTGCCAAATGCAAACGTATCGATAATAAATACATATTTGATAAATAGTTGGTTTTCGACAGCGAAATTATATCGGCAGCTGGAAGAGCATTTTCATATTCACGCGTGCGTATCCATCGACATTATTATTTATTTATCTTACATTTATACGTACGAAAATGTATACCATAATTGTTTTGTTACATTCTTCATTATTTTCGATTGTTTCTCATTAAGAATATATTACACCTATTTCTACTTACGATAGGAAAATTATGAAAAATTACAAATTATTCTACATTTGTATTTAAAAGTACAAAAAATTTTGCAATGGTTTAGAACTTAGATAAAAAATTATTTAAATATGAAGTACAAATGTGCTTTTAATAAAAATGTAATTAAGAAATAATGACAAAAATCGCAATTTTTTATATAAATATTTTACGTATTCAAAATGATTTATATAAAATTTTATTGTAATGCAGAGATAAGTTATTCTGTAAAAATAATTAAATTTTTATTAAAAGTACAAAGAAAACAAATGATAGATATATATATATATATATATAGAATACAAATAAAATTAAATTTATAGAATAACTAATCTCTGCATTGTAATCAAGTTTTACATAAATAATCTTGAATGTTTAAAGAATTTATATAAAAAATTCTTATTATATTTTTATTATTATTTTTTAATTATATTTCCAAAACACATCTTTACTTATCTATTTAAATAATTTTTAATCCAAGTTCTAAACTGCCATTAAACATTTTTGTATTATTTTAAATGCGATTTAAAATAATTTATAAATTTTTTAAAATAATCTATATAAATTTTTTCTAACTTTTTCAATGTACATATAAAAATTATAAAATAAATGTAATACATCCTTAAATTTTATTAAAACAACAATATTTCTATGAGAATCAGTATATTTGTAAAAAATCGTGTTGTATGGAAGCGCCCAGTTGTGTACTATGACGATACATTCGACTGCGATATGTTAATTGTCATCCTCTCGAAATCGCGTCTTCTTTCCCAGGGCTACGGAGGGCGGTTTAGCACCGGATGCAGCTGCAGGTGCAGGCGCCGGCACCGATGGCATCGTCGGTGGTCCCAGGACGCCCCAGCAGATCGCCTCGCAGAAGCGGTTGCAGGCGACGCAAGCGCAAGTCGATGAGGTCGTCGACATCATGAAGACGAACGTCGAGAAGGTCCTGGAGCGCGATCAGAAGCTCTCCGAGCTCGATGATCGAGCAGGTGAGATCGATATGTCTCATACAACTGAAAAAACTTTTTGACAAAAACTTGAGTGACGTGGCCAAATTTAAAAATTTAATCGATAATTAATCCCCTAAATTAGATTCTATTCTATTAAATTATATATAGTTTATTTTGTAATTTTATATATATATATATATATATATACACACGCGCACGCACGCGCGCGCGCGCGCGTGTGTGCGCGTGTGTGCGTGTGTGTATTCCATTATGTATATTGTATTTGCGCGCATGGTTACATCGATATATTCATTAATTATTATATACATCAGTCCATTGTTTACTATTTCTACGTCAGATACTTACTTATTCATAATGAATATCATTTGTTGCACGTCGAGAGATTAATTAATGCCGAGTTCAGAAGAGTGAAAATGTATGTCGTATAAGAGAATATCGCGCAAACTTTTAAGAAGATATAACTATAACCCGAGTGGGAGTTATGTTACCAATTATATTGCATTTTATGTCGCATCCACCACGACGCAATATTATTATTGCTATTCACGAACTGGTCTGTCGTTTTACTGAGTAGAAGGGCTAGACAGAAAATATGATATCGTGGGAAGACTACACCTTCCATTCATGGCACCGTAGCAATAAAGTAGTTCGACCCTGCGCGTCTGACTACACGTTGATATCGATTACTGTGACACACTCGAATCGATGTCACGTTATGTGGCTGGTGAACGTCGATCTTTTTTCACGCAATCTGCACGTTACATTTATTATTTGCGCAAATATATATCTTTCCAGTGATATATCGCGTTATTCCTATTCTCACTAAATATTTTTCTTATTCGTTTTTTTCTCTCGAATAAAGTTATATTGTCTTTTTCGACTGTTAATAGAGCAAGAGGACAATTTCTACTAAAAAAATCCTTTTTATAATAAAAATTAAACAAAATTGTACTTTAAGATGTTTTTTGAAATTAATCGGATTACTAGACGTAATTGGCTTTTGTAGATGCACTCCAACAGGGAGCGTCACAATTTGAACAGCAAGCAGGAAAATTAAAGAGAAAGTTCTGGCTACAGAATCTAAAGGTGAGCATTAGATTTTACAAATTAAAAGTACTCTCGAAATCTTAATATTAAAAATTGTTCCGTGTGTTTTTCCTTTGATAGATGATGATCATCATGGGTGTCATTGCACTTATCGTACTGGCCATCATTGTCGGTAAGTGTTTCACTGACGCACTGACATTTAACAGCTGTCACAACTATAATTGTTTAAATGTTTCTGTGCCATCTCGTCGTTGTACATCTCGTCCCGATTTCGAGCGACTAATTCAACGTTACTTTTTTTTAACGTGTATTTATATCGATTATAAAAATGCTGACTATTTAATACTAAATAAATTGTGGAAATTTATATTCTTTTGAGATCGCATATTTCAACGCGAGATGAATATGAATTTCTATCGCGATTTGGTGAACTTAATTTAACAGCTTTGACAATGTTACGTCTGAATCAGTCGTTCCCAGCTAATGTCTTTCTGCCGATCTATACCCTTTGTGCTAAGGAAACGTCTACGTACAAGCGATTGTGTTTGCACGATGCAAAAAACGACGCGATGTGACGAGCGAAATGTTATCCACGGGTTTGCATAGCTTTTGAGAGAATCCCTCCGAGAGATCTCTCGAGACTTGTCGAAGAAATGTGCCGAGATAAACTATCTATCGTGCTTGGCCTGAAAATTACATCGATTACTTGGCCTCGATCTTTCACGAAATTTTTTCCGAAAATATCATTACTCGCGAGCATTTCTTTTCTCTGTATTTTCAGAATATTTCTCACTTTGAGCTTTATGAAAAAAACTCTACTTTCTAACAACATCATTTTTGTGCATTTTATGAAACGAAACGAGAGTATATATCATTTTTATTTGCAATAACATGTCTTTATCGCGCACGACATGAAATGTGCGAGAAAGACATCGCTATGCAGCGTGATCCGTCTGAAAAAGTGGCGTCACTCTGTCTTCCCTTTGTTCATTCATCATCTAACACGTGTGAAATGTATGTATTTCTCTTTTCCCGTCTAGCGAACTTCATGTAGGCGCGCTGATTGGTGGAAGAGATTTGTGTGTGAGTGAGTCTGAAGGTAGAGAAAGCAAAACAATTGCGACATTGCGTATCGCTGTTGTTTCTCATCCCGTTTCTCGTATTTCTTTTTTACTTGTCGTAGAAAATGTATACCTAAATCCGTCTTTCCAATTTTACGTTCTCATTATTTACTATCCGATACGTAAAAGCTCCCCTCACTCAGATATTTCGAAGCTTCTGTTCTTAATTTGAATATGTCATGTATCAATCATGCCGCCAGTTTTATAAAGAATTTATAAGTTTTATAAAGAAGAAAGCGTGAATGCTTTATTCGAAGAATAATAGCGATTTCGATACACTAAATATTGTGGACCGTAAGCGTCCAAACTACGACATAACGAACATTGTTATAAGAATTATCGTGCTATAGTATTTTATTATTATTATTATTATGACTAATATCGGTAACACACACAGACATTCTCGCGAGAAAAATCCAAGTATGTCTGCATATTTATAAAACTGGCGCTCCTAGTCAGTGTTATATTATGTCTGCCTGATAGGTAGGTATTGCTGTATCTGTTGTTACGTGTATTTTCCCTACATAAGAACTCTTCATCACCGCCCCAGTGTCGTTGCATATTTATGAACCACCGATTTAATTGGGAAGTGCTCCAGTTAAGAAATACTGTCAATATACCGCGAGCCTTCATAAATTTTCGACGACATACTCCCCTGTTCTCTTCTCTTATCACAACACAAGGTTCAAATCACCGTCGAGTTTTACTTATCGTCGTATACATATATTTCTGCTAGGGATTTTCTCAGCACTTTGTCTGACGTCCCGACCGTCTCTTTAAAGTCCACAAGACGGAAAAAAAGTGACGCATGAGAAAATCGCTATGATGACTTTAATCATTTCAACGTCGGATATCTATCACAATTTCGATGTTGACTAAAATCCATTTTAAATGATTTACAATTCGCATCAGATTTTCCAGATTAGGATAAAAATTCTATGCGTTTTTATTTATTCTTTTTCTGCAGCAAAATATTTAAGTATATTTTAAGCGTATGTTCAAGCATATTTTATATATGTGCGTATTTTGATTCTTCAATTGTTTTTTCATATTACATGGCACATAAAATCACAAGTAAAATGCATATCATGAATTCTGATACGAATTTTAAACCGTCTAAAGTAGACCTTGTAAAGTAGAGATGTATTACGCGAATTAATTTTTTGAAAAGGAAAAACTGTTGGTTTCATTCACGAATGTCGATGAATTTTTAAAAAGGAATGTTTTACGTGACACAGTCATACCTCTCTCTTTGTATATGTGTGTGTGTGTGTGTGTGTGTGTGTGTGTGTGTGTGTGTGTGTATGTGTGTGTGTGTGTGTGTGTTTTTACGACTGTAATCGTTGTTATGTGTCTGTCTGTACTTTCGGTGGTATCCTCTTTCTGAAGTTGGTCCCAGGCAATGATTTTTAATTTTCTGGTGGTCAATAACAAAGAAAAAAAACCAAAAAAAGAAACAGTGTGAAACAGACTGAACGTACAACTTCAAATATTGTGTACGCAAACTGCGGCAGAAATAAAGAAACGATACAAAATACCACCAAGAAATGAAAACACAAGAAATGAAAACACCACAACGACAAATGACAACATCAACAACAAGCACAATATCGACAACAATAAGAATTATTAAACAACTACAACTACAACAAAAGTTTCTGTTTAATCCTATTCTACTCTTCGGTACGGTAAGCTATAATTTTATTGTTGCACTCGATATGACTTTTCTATCTTTTTCTCTCTTCTTATGCCAAAATGCAATTTAAATCTTCTTCAAGCACTTTTTCTTATATTTGTTTCTTTTATTTATTTATTTATTTATTTGGTGATATGATTATTTGAATTTATTTCATACAAAAAGATTTAGCAAGATCTTGCTTTCCGGGGATACGGCTGTGTTACTTGATGTTGTTTCTTAATATGTATTCGGCTAGTATCAATATATTTCTTATTCTTATGCGCCGGAAAAAGTCGTTTGATACATTATTTATCTAAATCTTGCGATAAATATTGCCATAGTTTCAGTGATCTAATGGATAAGATGCCTGCCCGAAGAGCAGGCGATCCAGGTTCGATCTCTAATTGAGGTAATATTTTTTGCAATATATAATTTTAGTAGGGGAGATGATAGGGATTTAATCGATATCAAAATATTGATTATCGAATGATTATAGAATCACTACGTTATGAAAGTCTACTAATTTAAGTGGCACGTAGCTGGTGTTATAATTTGAATTTATTTCATACAAAAAGATTTAGCAATCAAGATCTTGCTTGCCTGGGATACGGCTGTGTTACTTGATGTTGTTTCTTAACATGTACTCGGCTGGTATCAATATACTTCTTATTTATTTATTTATTTTTACATATTGAACAATTCCGCATAAATGCACAATATGCATTAAATTTTGAAAAACATCTTTTTTATTTTCTATAATTATCTTGTCTTATCTGAAGATTGTATATATTATATATAATTATAATTTGATTGTTTATAAATTTAATAATTTATTTAATTTTTAATTTCCTTTTAGATACAAGATTATTAATATTTAACGATCAATTTATTTATTTTATTTGCATTTATCGTTAAAGATACATTCATGCATATTACATTTTGCATGTTTTTTCTCTTTCTCTCTTTCTCTCTCTCGTCACTCATCCTTTTCTTTTCTCTTAAATAACATTCTTAGTACAGCGCGAAACTCATACACCATATATTCTCAGGATATGCATACTTTAATAACGTGCATTCCAATATTATAAAGACAAATCAAGCAAACGTTTCTGGGACGATCTTCGCGCATCGACCTCTTATTGCGGAGCATGTTCGATTCAATTATTTCTTCCTTGATTGAAAGCCGGCGTAGCGTTGCATGGCTTATATGTTATGCGTTAATGGAATGCGCTAAAAAATGCTTGTAACGCAAACAATTTTGAGCAGAAATTCAGCCAGAACTTCCTACGAGCTGCGGCGAATTTTTCCAAGAGTCGCAAAAAGAGAGAAAGAGAGAGAGAGAGAGAGAGAGAGAGAGAGAGAGAGAGAGAGAGAGAGAGAGAGAGAGAGAGAGAGAGAGAGAGAGAGAGAGAGAGAGAGACGGATCACAAATGGAACTTCTGGCAAAAAAGTGGAAATTTATCTCAACGCTAATGCATTTTCGCAGAGGAAGGTTTATGTATTGTATATATGAAGTGGCCTCTATATGCATTTATGCTTCCTACGTATCTACTTGCATGCAACTCTTCCTTATCCTCCTGACTAACAAATTGTCATGTAGCTTCAAACTGCGAAGGCGCGCACGTCAATGAACTTAGTTAACGAGACGCTTCGTCGTGGATATATAAGAGCGTAAATAAAATAGTATCTTTCATTGAAAATATTTTTAAAATTAGATATGAGTTTACATTTCTTGTGATTCTGGAATTGCTAAATTTAAACATTTGTCCACGACGAGTGCGATCCGCCGCATGTCCTCGCATGCAAAGGACATAGTAGAGACAAAGAGAAAAAAAATAGTAAAAAGGGGAGTGCGGAAAGAAACAGATTAAAATTTGAAGAGACAATAACTAAGAGCAACACGGGGCGAATTATCGTCGTCCATTCAGTGGAAGAGAACAAATGTTGTTATTATTTTCAGCGAGCGTCACCGGCGGCAGCAATACGCAAAATTGAGTGCAAGAATAAGAGCTAAAGTAAAATAACGCAACAGCAACTACAACAACAATAAAAAAGAAGGTAAAAGGAGAGGCGAAAGAAAAGGGAGAAGAAGAGAAAGAAGAAATGGCAGCTGAAGAGAATGGTTCATGAAGATGTGGAGTTATTTTTCAGAGGAAGGATACAGAAAGGGTGATCTTGCGAGATAGAAATTGTGATGAGCCGTTGATGAGTTCTGCCGGAGTTCTCCGCGACGTAACGTCGGATCGATCGCGTGCGGGAATCGATCGATCGATCGTCGGCCTTGAGATTCATCGAAGAAGCGAAGAACGAATGATCGGAAGCGGAGAACATTGATCCGAGCGGGAATAATGAAGAGAGTCGTCGCGACGACTACGGAACTTTCCTTATTACCCTTTGTAGCATTTTTTTCTTTCTTTTTAGATCGAGCGGAGGAAGTCGATAGATCGGCTGAATCGATTCGATCTCCATATCTTGCAGCATGGACGAAGATCGCGCACGATAGTTTACAATCGCGCGAGATTCCACTAATTTTTGCTTTGTCTCGTTTTATTATATATAGATTATTAGTTATCGTCTCGTAATTTTGTTGTTACCAGAATCGTTTCGCAATGATGCAAGGAACGTTAGTTTCCTTCCTGAATTTTCGCAAAATAAATTTCTACGTAGCTGCTAAAGCTAGAAAGATTTTGCCAGACAAGCGACATTGAAACATTGAAATTAATATCATTAAAGTTTCACGACTAAGCGGCCAGTTGATCAAGCGAGTGATACCAATACCGCGCTTTCCTTCGTCCATCTTCGTTAATCAAGATTGTCCGAGAGAAGTTAGAAGAAATGAGAAATAGAGAAATAGATGGCTATTGTATACAAAGGGGCGAAAAAGGGAGTGGGAAGATTCGCGAAAAAGAGAGGGAAGATTCATTGTAGCAGCGACATATAATACTTAAATATATAGGAAATATATATATATATATATATATATATATATATATATACATGTATAATGAAATATATATATATATATATATATATATGTGTGTGTGTGTGTGTATAGAAAGAAAGAAAGATAAAGAGAGAGACAGGGGTGTCCATGAAAACTAATATGTAAAATCTCTCCGACGAAGGCAGTTGCTGTGGTGCACGTTCGCAATGTATATCATCGACATTTACTTTATAGATGTAAATGTAAATCATGCAAAAATCATGCTGTAAATAATATATCATTTGTCTCTCACGCGCCATTTATTCAACTCGCTCCGATTATACGAGGAGAGTCACACACGTCCTTTGTTCCCTTGTCTTGCATCTTGCTTTTCGCTTTTCGCGAATTGTAGAGGAAAAGCAAACCGATGGATAGAAGGACGAGAAAAGAGAAGAAGAAGAAAGCGGATTGCAGCAGCGGATTGCGCCTGCCTTCGTCGAAGACGGTGATGTTTTCGAGCAGCCTGTATACAGAGAATCTAAAAAATAATAAAAAGGAGAGAAAAGGGGGAAAGAAGGAAGAGAAAGAGGGATGAAAGAAGAAATGAAGGGAATGGGAAAGAAACGCCTTGTTGTAAAGAGGCGCAGCAGCTAGTAACGTTTTAATGATAAGGCTTAAGATGAATTACTTACAAAATGTTATGTATACATGTTAATAATAATGATAATTACGATGATGATAATAACGCTAACATTAATAATGATTATAATAAATGACGATGGAGAGAGGGAGTTGACTTTCTCGCTTCGCGGATGCGATCGCATCAAAGAAAGAGGAACTGTTATTTCGATTTGAGGATGTGAACTCAGGATGCTTCATCCTTGATCCTCTTATCATCCATCCGCGAGATAAGACATTAGCGACGAGGACAGGTCGCGCCTGACACGCCGATTATTTGTCGACGAGTCCGACGAGATCATCGTCGATTTTTGACGATCCTTCCCAATCCCCTCCTTTTCCGTTCAATTTTCCTGATTTCGTTGCTACTGCTGCTGCTGCTGCTGATTCAGCAATAATCTCAAGAGACGAAATGATCGTTTTTCCGACCGCGATCCTCCGCAATTGTTCCTCCCTCCGATCCCGTCCCGACGCGCGATATTTGCGGATATGTCTGCAGATGCCATTCCGCCGCGACTTCCGGATGCGATCAAGTTCACCGGAAAAGAGAGAAGAGCTTTTCATCGTGTCGATTGGCAGAATGCTGGATTGATTCTGCTTTGGTTCGTGCTGGCGTTTATTTTAAGAAAAGTTTTAATAAGCGAGATTTATCGAAATAAAAAGCGAAAAAAGTATCGATGTATCATATTAATTTCTTGCAATCTGAATGGTCTGATTAGCCATGCGTATCACAATCGTAATTGAAAGGAAAAAAATCATGTATTCTTTTTCTTTTCTTATCCTTAAATTGTTTGCTCCTTAGCATAATGTCTCGTGACATTGTTAAAAATAATATGGATGATGGGGATGATTGGGGACCACACGAATTGTTAACGCGATACGCTTTCCTAAATCCGCGAAAATCGCAAGGATTGAAAAGCGAAGGGCCGATCGACGAATGAGAAATTCTTCAAAGTTGTCGCGCGAAGTGGCCGCACATACAACCCGAGTTAATAATATTTAAAGACGATCACTCTATGTTTACAAACTTATAAACACATAGCTGTACATCATATCTTAACCGTGTCGACGTATCCTTAATTATTAATGACGAATATGATGCTGCGCTTTAAACAATTGTACAGTATCGAATAAAAAATACACTGCGTATTGAATTGAAGTTATGAAGAAGTAACGGAGAAAGGGATTGATTATAATTTTTTTTTTTAGTTTTTGGATCAAATCGTGCTTTCGCTTCAATCGTAGAGATTTTATATATTTCTCCGTGCAAGTATTGATATCTCTGCGTATTTTATTACTCGATAAATAATAAATGCCGCGCGTTTCAGTTCTTTTTCTTTTATTTTGTTATCATTAATGCTGCATGTAAAAAACCCTTCTTTCCCGAGAAGCTTTATTCGGTCTCGATTGGAAAAAAGTACACGTGATAATCTTTTTTATTCTATTAGCGATTGAATATGTATCGCAACACGCCTTGCAGCAAGAGGATCATTATAAAGCCTAATATTCATTAAATCCATGCAGGAGGTAAGAACAATAAACTTGCTATTGTATGCCGGTGTGCATATTACTTGACATTTATCTATTTTTTTTTATAAAACTTTTATATCCTTTCTTACTTGATTTCAATTTGTACTTTCTTTAGTCTTATGATAATTGCATAATTTTATAGTACATTAGAAATGGCACATTAAATA